GAGGGGCGATTTCTCACTTTCTGTCTCTCTGTCTCTATCTTTCTAGTGAGCACATGCATCCTATAGCAAAAATCTCTCAACAACAACAAAAAAAACTTTTTAAAAAAGAATCTATCAAAAAGTGAGAGAATGGAAAAGCACTGCCTGAATACAAGAGAACAAGGACAATTGTGCTGGGTAATGGCGTCCATGTGGTTAGTATCTGAAGCAGTATACCAGAGTAGTTACAACTTGGGATCTGCAGTTAAGATTCCTTTGGTTCACACTAACTTAGAAAAGTTGCTTAAATTCTTCTGAGCTAGGTTTCCTCATCTGTAAAATGAGAGAAAAGAAGTACAGGTCCACAGTTCTTATGGCGGGTTAAAGATAAACATTAATTCTTTCTCTCTCTTCCCTTGCATCTGGCCTACCCCTGTAAATGCTTAACCAATAGAAAAACAACAGTTATAAAGTGTTCACTCTATACTGACATTTTTTTTTCAAGAATTATTTTCTTCTTATTTATTGTCATTATTTCATTTTTAAATTTTCTTCTAAAATTTACCAGAGAGAGACAGAGAGAGAGAAGGAAAGTGAGAAAGCAAGCTGCCAGGTCCAGGACTTGAATCACATCAACTATGTGGGAGTCCAGCCGCCTTAATCACCACACCACCTGCCAGCCCCCGACATTTTATTTTTTTAAGAGTTATTTTATTTAATTTTATTCATTGTCATTTTATTTTACTGAAGTTGACCAGAGAGAGACAGAAAGAGAGAAGGAAAGTGAGCAAGCAAGCTGCCAGGTCCGGGACTCGAACTGTGGTCAGACGTGTGGGAGTCCAGCAGTCCTAACCACCACACCACCTGCTGGCCCCCATCTACACTGACACTTTAAAAAAACTTGGAAGCATCTACTTTTGAGGAATCTTACACTACCATTTAATAAATGCAGCTACCATGCTAAATATCACGTGAAAGAAAAAAATATATACATGTGGAGAGGAGCAGCTCTGAGATTACAGGGAGGGCATGAAGAAGGAGAGAGAGAGAGCCAGCCATCTAAGAGTCCCACCCAAACTCCCAGAGCTTCCAGCCCCAGTCAACATCAGGAGAGACCCCAAGCAAGAACTGAGCCCAGAACTGTGAAAGATAGTAAAATGGTTGTTTTAAGTTACTAAGTTTTGGAGTAATTTTTCATATAGCAATAGATAGCTGAAACATGCATTTATTCAAAATCCTGGAATCCGCTGTATTTAGGAACTGAGAATTTGGGGGACTTTACAAGATAATATAGTGTACGTTCCAGGTGTTATTTAATACTTCAGCAGGGCCTAGGGAATAACACAGTAATATTTTTGCAGCAAAATACATGACTATTTACACTATAGTGGGATAAATAAGAGTTATAAATAGTCTTAAGACAGTTCATGCCAGGTTTGGCTGCCAAATAAGTCTTGATGCCAAACTTACAAAAATCTTTTCAGGTTACAGATGGTAGCGAAGTGGTAAAACACAATGCTCTTTGAGGCATGTGTCCATGATTCAGGGCTGGCTGAGGCTGAGGGTGGATTGCGGTGCCAAGAAACTGTTGGGGAGCTGTCTCTCTTTCTCTTTCTCTGTCCCTTTCACTAATTAAAGTCACAAATAAGTAAAACTCAGAAAAAAAACTCTTTAACTTTTAAAATTATGGTTAGGGGGGAAAAAGCAGTTAGCGTAATGGCTATGTTGCTGGACTCCCATGTAGTAGACTGTGGTTCGCGTCCCAGACCCGGTGGCTTAGAACTCACACCGGGCGTGTGTGCGTACGTGCCCAAGATCCCGAGAGGAGAATGGAGGAGAAGGGATTACGGTGTGACCATCCCCCCCTGGGGGGTGATTTCTCGATTTCTGTCTCTCTGTCTCTGTCTGTCTGGCAAGCGCATGCGCCCTATAGCGAAAAAAACTCTCAAAAAAAAATTATGGTTAGGAGATTATAGACCTATATTTATCTCGAAGGGTTGCTATGAGGATTAAATGAGATAACGTAAGAGGCCTAAAACAGTCCTTGGTGTGTAATAAGCACTATTATTATTGATCACTCTATTTAGAATCCTAGGAATTTGGGGCCCAGGGTATTAGGGGCCCAGAGAAAGGGACAGCCTTACCTGGTCATAGTCCTCAGGGCCAAAGGGCGCATCTTGCTGCAAAATATGGTGCAGCCGAGCCTTCACCCGGTGCTGGCAGCTACTCAGGGAATCACCGTCACTGTCCAGGAGCCCATTCATGTTGGCGCTCTTCACCATTTGTACCAAAATGGGTGTCAGCTCTCCTTCTAGAGCCAGAAGGCCCTGGAGAGGGAAGCACAAGATCTATTAGTTTCCCTTTCAGGCCCATTCTTTAGGCCTAGATGGTCCCAGAGAGCAAACAAAGCTGGCTTGAAGGGGTGGGGTATAGGTCACGGGGCCTAACTCCCACTACTTATCCTAAGGAGTACAGAATGGTGTCAGACACAAGCAGAAACTTCTCTGAGCTGACATATAAACACCCTGAGATTTCCCAAGAACTTCTCTGCTTCTCTACCTAGGGGAAGCTGGGCCTGTGGAGGAAATTTACTATGCACCTTGGCAAAGGCGGCAGCAGTCATCTGGACACGGCCCTCGTCAGAGGCATAGATCTTGAGATCATGGCGGAAAGTGCTGTGGAGACGAAGCAGCCCACAACCAGGGAAGCCGGCATAGTCACCTGGGACGAAGGGAAGACCAGGAATGAGCAGCTGGTAACACTCACATGCAAGAGAGAATGCTCACTTCCCCTCCAGCTTCCCCTTTGCCTCATTTCCCCCAGCTTGTTCTCTAATCGTCTTATCCCAGCCCCGCTAGGTATTCACCCCCAGCACTCACCCTGTCCTCCAGGGTACATGCAGCGGAAAGCTCGCCCCAGCTCCTCAGCCTGCACCCGGCCAGCAGGAGTCAGCTCTCCCCCCCACTTCAGTACCAGCAGCAGAGATGGGGCCAGAGCCTCCCTCTGTGGATCTGCAGGAATAAGGGGCAGTGAACCGGTTTGGGTTGAGGAAAACAGTGGGCATATCTAAACACTAGGTCTTCTAAAAAGACCAGAAAGGTAATTTGGGGTAGAGATTGAAGGACAGGAGATTTGGGAAGAGAAAATTATATCTTACCTTGCCCCTCATTAGAAGCTTTTACACCATGAGGGTAGTAAGTCAATTGCACCTTTCGATTAATACCTGAGAAGTGACCATACCTGTGGGATAAAGTCACAGTTTACTTTCTGCCCCAGCCTCTCGATTCTCAGTTATTAACTCCCCTTTGCTATCCCCTTTCTCACATCTCCAGCACAGACTTCAGCTGCTCTAATTTCCCAGTCTTCTCCTCGATCTCACCACCTGGTTCTTTCTCCAGTTCAGCCAACAACAGCCTTGTGATGTCCAGCACCTCCTAGGGAAATAACGGGGTACCCATGCATGAGGCCAAGTCCTAGCCAGTTACCCTTCCATCAAGGCCCCAGTTCTAAACCCTTCTTCTCACAGCACTATGCCTTCTGGCCAGATTCACTACTTTACCTGGAGCTGCTCAGGTCGTTTGAGTTTTAATTTTCCTGTCTTGTAGCCACCATGTTTTTCAAATAGAGTGAAAAACCTGAAGAAGCAAGGAGAAGCTTTGATGTGAGGTCCAATGCCAAAGCTTCTGGGAGCTGCCCCAACCCACTCTCCCTTATAAAAATGTATTGTTCCCCCTTATTTTTGCCAGAGGGTGCACACACTTACCAGAGAGAGAGAGGAAGAAGCACCCCCCAGCAGGGTGTGGTCATGCCACAATCCCTTCTCCTCCATTCTCCATCCTATTGGAATTTGGGGTATGCATGCACATGAACCTGATGTTTTGTCTAAGCTTCTGGAGCCAAGATTCCAACTGCACAGTTGGCCGGGTGGGATTCAGCTCCCGTAACCACCAAGTCACTAAAATAGGGCTGAAGTCAGTTCAGTGCCCTAGTGGTCATGGCAGCTGGATACTACATGGCTGACTGTGTGGTTCAAATCCAAGCCCTGGTGACTTAAAAAGAATGCTGGTACATTTATGTACATGGCCAAAATCCTGACAGAATGGGGAAATGGAGAAGGGACTGCAGTATGATCACACTCCACTGGAGGGTGCTTTGTCCTCTCGCTCCCTCTTTCGGGCAAGTGTACATGCCTTCAGAAAAAGAGAGAGAGAGAGAGAGAGGGCCAAAAGCTTTTTCTCTAAATTAGGACACTCTTCTTACCTTGGATGTGTCACCTCCATCTTCATCTTCTGCTTGGGGGTACGATCCCCGTGACGGATAATTGCAATGACACAACGAAGTTCCATCCTAAAATTGGAATGTTATCAGAGCCTCTCCCCAGCTCCTCACCCATACCCCACCTTCCTGTCATCACATCCTACTTGGCATATCAAAGAAAGGAATAAAAGCGATCCAAGACTAGGAATCTAAGTGAAGAAGATAACCTAGAAGCTGCCCAGGCTCCATCAGTCCTCCCCAGCCCCTCACCCATAATCCACTTCCTGTCATCACATCCTACTTGGCATATCAAAGAAAGGAATAAAAGCGATCCAAGACTAGGAATCTAAGTGAAGAAGATAACCTAGAAGCTGCCCAGGCTCCATCAGTCAGACAGTGCAGGGTCAGAAAGTGACCACTGGTCTAACTTAAGGAGTCCTACGTGTCTTAAGTGGGTTTCCCCAGAGGTTTTACTTTTGCTTACATAGTGCCAGACGTGGTAGGGACAATGGGAATGTCCTCAGCCTCTGTGGGGATGGACCATGGAATCTGGAACTGTGGGGCAAGTTCCCGCATTATGGTGTTCCTAAGAGAAACATGAAGAAGCTGTGTGAAAATGAATAAACCAGAGCTACTAATATGAATGAAGGTTAAAAAAATAAGCAAGCTGCAGATGAATATGTTAGTATTAAATCTAAAAACAAGCAAACAATACTCCCATATATATAGAAAAAATATAAGTAATATGTGGAAATTACAAACACCAAATTAAGTATTGTGGTTCCTTCTAGGTGAGGGGAAGGGGTTGTAACCCAGGAGGAGTATATAGGGATTTCAACTATAGTCTTAACATTTTCTTTCTCACTTTTTTTCTTTTTTTTTGGAGAGGTTTTTGCGTAACCCAGGAGGAGTATATAAGGGCTTCAACTATAGTCTTAACATTTTCTTTATCTCTCTTTTTTTTTGGAGAGGTTTTTGCTATAGGACACATGCGCTCGCCAGACAGACTGAGAGAGACAGAGAGATAGAAAGCGAGAAATCCCCCCCCGGGGGGGATAGCCACACCCCAATCCCTTCTCCTCCATTCTCCTCTCGGGATCTTGGGCATGCACACACATGCACTTGGCGTGATTTCCAAGCCACTGGGTCCAGGATGCGAACCGCAGTCGACTACATGGGAATCCAGCGACATAGCCATTACGGTAACTGCTGGTCCCTCTTTCTCTCTTTTTAAATTTGCTATAGGGTATATGTGCTTGTTGGAGACAGAGAGAGAGAGACAGGGAAAATGAGAAAGCACTCCCCGGGAGGAAGGGCCATGCTATAATCCACTCTCCTCTCAGGATTTTGGGCACATACTCATATGTGCCTGGCATATTTTTCAGGTTGTTGGGGTCTGGGATTCAAACTGCTCAATCGGCCATGTGGGATCCAGCTGCCCTAACCACCATGCCACTTTATCTCTTAAACGATGAGGTAAAGAGGTGGATGTTCACCATATTTATCATTGTGTGTGTTATTTATTTTAAATAAACTTATTTAATTAAAAGTTAAATGACAGAGAGAGTGCATGGAAAAAGAAAGAGTTTTCCTGACAGGGTCATACCACATCATGATGCTTCCTGTCTCAGCCTCTTAGGCGGCCAGGATAACAGGCACACATTACTGTGCCCAGCCTGTTTAAGTCAGGCCAGGAATGAAACCCAGCCTCCGTGTGACCTCAGCCTCACACAGCGGCGATTCTGCTTATGCCACTGTGACTAGATCCCTTACACATTTTTGAATGGCTTAAATGTTATGTGATAATTTTTTCTTAAAGTCTAGTTGCAGAACAGTATTATAATGTGACCATCTTTTAGGAAAAAAAAAAAAAAAAAAAAGGTTTGGGGCTGGCAGGAAGCGTGGTATTTAAGGCAGCTAGACTCCCACATGGCTGACCACAGTTCAAGTCCCAGATCTGGTAGCTTGCTTTCTCACGTTCCTTCTCTCTTTCTGTCTCTCTCTAGTCAGCTTCAAAAAAAAAAATTAAAAATAAAATAATGACAACAAATAAAATTAAAAATAATTATTTAAAAAATACAGTTTGTACATAGTAGAAAAAAGACAGACTGCTATGTCTAAAACTGTTAATAGTAATTATTTCTGGGGAATGCAGTGTTGGGAAGGCAAGGAGGGTGAGAAACCTTTTTCCTTCTTTTCCTTTTTCACTTTGAAATCATTTTTGTAACACTTAAAATAAAGCAGAAGCCTTAGAACCCTCTTCTCTAAGCCTGTCTCCCAGTCCACACCACTGTGTCTCTTACCCCAGAATCTTGGCACAGTCATCATAGTATTTCATGGAGTTCTTGACAAAGCTGAAGCCATTGACATCACACACAAAGGAGTGACCATTGGCACGAAGAAGGTCAAAGCCACAGACTGTTTGCTGCGGAGGAAAGAGGTAAGATGAGAACGAGAGAGCCGGTCTTCCTTCCTAGCCCCGCTTCTGTGTTTCCCACAGCTCATGGAACTTCCTCTACCTTAAACGCCACGCAGACTTTCCTGGCCACCAGCTTTTCCATGGCAGTCAGCATGACTGGATATCGAATCTCTTTCCCCTCACTGTCTCGTTCGACCTTCCCATCCAAAGCTGGAGATTTTCTAGCTTCGGCATGGGCATAATCTGGCCCCACTGTATACACCTGCGGGTACATAGCATCACTGAGTATGCCCACTGCTCACCCTGTATACGAGAAGACAACATGAGTGCTGGGTCTGTGCGCTAATTTCAGTTTTTAAAGCAAAAACAACAAGACAAACAAACCCCAGGCACTAAGAGTAAGGAGACAACATTCTTCTTACTGAGCCCTACTGAAGGTTTTTCAACAGGACTCAGCATTGTCATCTGGTCCTTATTAAAAAAATAACCTACCATTCTGCACGTAACCCTTGTTCTCGCTCTGATAGGGAAAATGTGAACGTCTACACCCCACACTTGTTATCTTCACCGAAATATGAAAGCCAATCACATCCACACTTCATTTCCGAGTACACCTCCTCCGTACACTTCCACCTGCCTCCCAATCACCCTACTCCCATCTAGACATTTGTATCACTCAGATCCCTGTATCCACCATAACCTTGACATCCGTGCCGTCTGTTGGCATAAACTCCTCATAGATGTACGATCCTGTTTTTCGGACGCTGCTCTCAGGAGAGTAAACGCTGCTTCGACTGCCAATCTTCAAGAGGAAAAGAAGAAAACAAATCTCTCAATCTTCCACCATGTCCCCAAATCTACCAGCTTCCTTCCCTATAAGCTCATCCTTGGTTTTCTACCACTCTGACTCCCCAGATGCTCAGATGCCTTCCCCACCTTCCGGAAGAGGCGCTGGCTTCCTCCTCCAGCCGAGCTGGGGTAGTAGATGTAAACGTTGTGGTCCTCTGCACTCACTGGCTTCTCCACAAAGGGCTTGGGAAAGACAGCGCCATTGACCTCCACCTGGTCTTCTCCTTCTACCAGGTTGCACTCTGAAAGGTGGGTGTGTGGTCATTCCTAGGGTCTAAGGTTGTAGAATATTTCCAAATTCCATTTTCCCAAGTTTTGATCTCAGAAACGCTCAGATTTTTATGACCTTATCTTAGTAATAGATATGATAACATCTATTATTGTATGTATAAGTCCCAACGCTCTGTCCAAAGACCCATGGCTCTAACCCTCCCCACAACCCAGTAAGCAAAGCCCCACTAGAGTGGCATGTAGGAGACACCTGGTGGATAAAGAGCTGGGCTAAGTCACAGGAAGCAAGCTAGGGCAGGACTGGGTAGGGTCAGTAACTCACCTTCAGGCCGGGCAGGGTCACGGTTGAGCACAGCATATCGAGGCAGATCGATACCCTCCTCCTGCAGGATCCGGTACACCTCCCTCCTGTCACCCCCGAATAAATTAGCTGGGAGAGGTGGAGGTGGTAATGACGTAATGACTAAGGGAAGAGACTGGGGATTTCATTTGCACAGGAATTGGAAGACACCAGGGCACAGAACTCAGTAGGATATGGTACAAAAACTAAGCATGGTTATTTGCATCCGCCCCTCCCAGAGTGAGTTTCCTAAATGGGCATGATCTCACAGCCACCCACCTCTCAGGTCAACAGAAAGATATACCTATCTTGGATGTAATACTGCATGGCCAGATCATTGATAAGAAAGGGGTTTCGAAGTTTGGAGTAAGCAACAGCTTTGTCCAGAGGAAAGCCTGGAACGAAGAAAGGAAACAAAGAGACAGAGTGAGAGAACAGCAAGAAAGATAAAGGGATGGCTAGCTGCCGCTGAGCAACCCTACCCACCCAACCCATCACTCTCTTTCTGCCCAGCTTCCCAAGTCTAGGATAGTCATCAGGAAAAAAGTAAAAATATGAATCATTCTCGGTGGGGGTTCCTTTTCGAGACCTAATTCTGTAAGAGATTCTAAGAGCTTTAGAGCTGAGCTTAGACTGTGGGCCATAGGGCCAGCTCCATAGATTGGTAGTTAGGGGTGTCAGATCCCACATGGCTGACCGTGGTTTGAGTCCTGGCCCTGGCAGCTTGAGGAGTACATCATGCGTGTGTGTGTGCCCAAGGCCCTGATGGGATGGAGAAGTGGAGAAGGGAATGCAGCACGCCTTGCCCCATTAGGGGTGCATCCTCCCTCCTCCTTTTCTCTCTGGAAAGTACACGCACCCTCTCGCAATGAAAAAGTACATATATATGGGACTTAAACTACTTTAACAACTCCTTCAAGATCTGGGGAGAGCAAACCCCTTTGGACTGTTCTCTTGGGTGTCAGATCTGATGACCTTTTTACTAAGGAAATAAGACAGTAAAAACCATTTCCGAATTTAGCATTCTCACCACCATTCTTTCCTAGTTCCCTTCCCAGACCCTAACCTTTGGAGTGGAACGAGATGAGGCAGTGGCAAGATGGCCAGTTTTCTACAGGTTCGTTGAGGATCACGTCTTCTCCCAGGATGATAACAGTCAGGTAGTCAAACCGGCAGAGTCGCTCTAGGATCTGGGTCATTGGTTTGGACTTGGACTTCTTGGTCATGGCACAGATGCCAACAATGATTTGAGGCTCAGGAGGCTACAGAGAGTAAGTGCTATTAGGAACTCAGGAGCTTCCCCTACATCATCCCCACCAGGGAACACTGCCTCATCTCCTTAGGGCACAGAGTTTCTTGCCAACACAGTCTAGGGATCAGCAGATGGTGTAATAGCTATGTCTCTGAACTCTCACGTAGTCAACCATGGCTCGAGTCCTGGACCCGGTGGCTTAAACCTCACACTGGGTGCATGTGTGTGCGTGCCCAAGATCCTGAGAGGAGAATGGAGGGGAAGGGATTGTGGCATGGCCACTCCTCCCCCAGGGGGTTCGTTTCTTGTTTTCTGTCTCTCTCTCTCTGGCAAGTGCATGCGCCCTATAGCCAAAAAAATCTCTTAAAAAAAAAAAAAAAGGCAATCTAACCAATCTCCATTGTCCCTCCCTTAAACTAGGAAAGGACCTGTTTATGACCAGGAGTTGATGCATTTGGAAAAAAACAGAGAAGTGTTATTCACCCAATGGAATCGAGCTCTGTATGATAGGAACCCCAATGCCAAGTTACATCATTTCCCCTAATCTTACCACTTCATCCTCCTCGTCCTCAAGGAGCTCGTTGTCACTCTCTTCTGTCCTCATGCCTATTCCACGGGTGCCCAGCCCCTCATCTCCAGCTCCGAGGAAGAAGTGGGCTGTAGTGCTCTCACCCTCACTGGCCATCAATGACCACATCCCCGCCGGAGCACCCACTCATCCCGCTCTGCAGAGAAGGTACCTCATCAGTTCAGAATCTAAACCAGTGGGTGGGGATGGGATGGGGAATGAGAAATGAGGGTATTACTAGGGTACTAGGAGAAACAGGAAACAAAGCTATAGGGAGTAGGATAAACAAACAAAAAAGGCATGTGGCCTGTGACATGAAATGACTAAAGACTCATTCAAAAAGGCAGGGACTCCTTTTTCTTCCCTCTTCACCCTCTCCCCCCACCAACAAATAGGGAAAAGGGTCAGGAAATTAACCCTTACAGTGCTGGCATGTCCCTGATTCTGCCATCAGGAAACAACATGAGCTCCAAGCAGCACAAGGGAAAGGCAGGTCCTTGGGGAAGGCTACTGTTGATTCCTACCAGGAGAGAGGGTTAGAGCGACACTTCAGATTTTGGATTCATTCCACAATTGCCCTTCTCCACCTCCCCACAGTAGTGCTGAGCTCCAGGGTTTAATTTAAGGGCAGAGGAACAAGAGAGCTCAGTTGCCTTTGCCCTTAAACCCCATCATCATTCCCACCAAGAATTAACTCAAAAAATATTTATTGAAGGTACTCAACGTTAAAAGCATTATATCAGAACATTAAAATCCCCCTATGTCCCTCTCTCACCTTCGCCCACTCTATCTTAAAAGACAGAGATGTCCAAATCCAGAAAATCTGTTCAAGGAGAGAGGTCTAGTGCTGACTGAAAGGCTGATACAGGCAACTATATAGCAACTTCCAACCCATTCTCAAACTGAAATGGCTTCTCTCTACTGTGATACTCCCTACCAGTGCTGGTCTAGGCCAAAGGAGCCACAGTGGGGGGAAAAATAATCCTGCCCAAAGCCATTTCAGTAACACCATCTTAAGACTTGAGGAAAAATGACCTGCCAGTTCCATTTCTGCATAAATATACCCAGAGTAGTGGTTCTCAACCAGCTATAACTTTGCTGCACAGGAAACATTTGGCCAGAGATGTTTTCGGTTGTCATAACTGGAAAGTGCTATTGGCGTAAGAGGTTAGAAATGCTGCTAAGGAGAACCAGCAGATGGCGTAACAGTTACGTGGCTGTTCTCCCACACAGCCGCAGTTCAAGTCCTGGACCCAGCAACTTAAAACTCAGGCTGGGTGCATGTGCGTGCCCAAAATCCCAAGAGGAGAATGGAGGAGAAGGGACTGTGGTGTGGCCATCCCCTCTGGGGGGTGATTTCTCACTGTCTGTCTCTCTCTTTCTGGCAAATGCATGCACCCTATAACAAAAATCTCTCTTAAAAAAATGCTGCTAACTATCCTAAAATGCATAGGATATCCTCCCAGAACAAAAATCTAGACCAAATGACAAGATGGAGAAACCCTGTTACAGAGAAACTCTCCTACCTAAGAAGACATGAGTAAGGATATTCTTAACCCACCTCACTGTTGGTAAAAAGGATAACTGAAAACAACTCACAAATAGAAAAATAAATACAATGTAACATATAGAAATGGTAGACTAAAAGTAATTTAAACAATGAATCAAAGCTATATGTAACAAATGGACAGTTTCCTAATGCAATCTACAGAAATATCCATGTTGCACATTTCCATTTGTATAAATAAATAATATTACATATAGCTGAAAACTGCATATATCATTAGTAGAAGCATAAAATCAAAGGCTGGAAAGAAAGACATCAAATTCATGATAGTGGTTACCTTCGAGGAGAAAGGAGAACAGAACTGAGGTAGATTAAAATGGTAATTATAACCTGATTTATAATGTTTATTTCCATTTTTATAAAGATCTGAAGTGAGTACATAAAAGGTTAACATCTGTTAATAGTGAATTGTAGGGATGCAAGTATCTGTTGTTATTTTCCAAAAATAAAATTGAGTCACACATCAGCAATTTTCCATGGTCTCCAAAAGTTCTCAGAAACACTGACGGATGACTCTAATGAAAGCCAGAAACTCTTCAAGCAAAGGAATTAATGTAGTCTTTTTCAATAGTCTTCCATAATTACTTTCTCTATTTTTATTGTAAACGCCTCCATTACAGCTAGGGTTTGCAGCGTTGACTAGAAATTGATAGCTGGCCTTTATACAGACTGTGACCTTTCAGGTTTCATGATCTGCTGTCTCTATTGCTCAGCCACTATGGGGGGCACAACATTCCTCAGTTGACATTTTCAGCTGTTTAATCACAAGTCTCCTGCACATACTCCCCCTCTTCGCTAGGAGGCTAGTTCTCTGAACTCCTTTTTAGTGACCTGACTCAATTTTCAAGACTTGTGGCATTTCCAAGGTCTCTGTGACTTAAGCAATTAGAGACACTCCATACTTTCTCTGAAGCAGGAGCTTCCTCTCTTGTTCAAGACTCCTATCCTCTGGGGACCAGTGGTTGGTGTGGTGGCTAAGGTGCTAGATACTCCCACAAGGCTGACCATGGTTCAAGTCCTAGATCTGGTAGCTTGCTTTCTCACCTTCTTTCTCTCTCTCTGACGTCAAAATAAATCAATGAGTAAACAAAATTAAAGAAACAAATATCTTTTTAAAAAAATAAAAATTCCTGGGAACCAGCAGTTAGCGTAATGACTATGTCGTTGGACTCCCACGTAGTTGACTGCGGTTCGCGTCCCGGACCGGGTGGCTTAAAACTCACGCTGGGCGCGTGTGCGTGCGTGCCCAAGATCCCGAGAGGAGAATGGAGAAGGGATTACGGCGTGACCATCCCCCCTGGGGGGTGATTTCTCGCTTTCTGTCTCTCTGTCTCTCTCTGTCTGTCTGGCGAGCGCACGCGCCCTATAGCAAAAACCTCTCCAAAAAAAATAATAATAATAATAAAAAGAAAAAATAAATAAAAAATAAAAATTCCTATCCTTTGCCCTTTCTTCCACTAAGTCCTTCCTGGTTTTCTACAAGTCCTATTCTTAAAATTCTATCACAACTCTGTAATGGGGGATGGTGAGTAATAGAATAGGGAAGAAGAGACTGTTCACAAATATAGGGCTAAAGACAGAAAAAAGGTCTAATTCATAGTTAACAAAGTGAAAATAGAAGCGTAACAGAAATAGCTATGAAATAAGCCAGGATTTATTTAGATGTACCTCTGGGAGAAGCTGAGGTTTCATGTGGTGTGCCCAGAACACTTTCATTTCCTATGCTCTTTTTTGCCTTTCTCCTCTCCTTCAAATGTGTGTTGTGAAAGAACACTTCAGACTCTACACTGGGCTAAAGGGCAGTCTTACTGCGGCCTGAATTGATATGAAGAAGAGGGAAGAAAGAGACAAGGAAGTAAGGCAAGGGGAAGGGAGTGACAGGTGGACAATCTTTTCAGGAACATATATGTTAAATCTGATCTGGAGAAGAGGGGAAAAGGAGAGTAAACTGTGTAACTTCTTTATCCCTTGGAATTTAGGGCTGCTTGCAGAGTCCTCAGATTCCTAATAACTGGGCAGTTGATGGAGGGATGGATCCAAGAGTGGAGAAGGGGAAACATCAATACAAATTCTAGGCAGGAATACTTCCAGCACAGAAAAGGTCCTGAGGCCAGCAAACTATCTGCTTCCTCTGTTCACCAGTGGACCCCTCACTTCCTTTGGAGCACAGTTTTTCATCCTTCACACATACCCTTTATGCTGACACTGATCAGCTGTGCTGCTGACCTGTTCTCAGAGTCAACTCACTCAAGATGCCTTTCCCCCAAATGCTATGAGGCCCTCGACACCCCTAACCACTCCTAACACTGCTGCTCTGCCGCCACCCCCAACTCCGTCGGTGGTCAACTAATCCAATTAACTCACCTAATCTCCCACTCACAGCTTGCCCAGCATTAAGCAGTTCTTCAGACCCTCCTACGTGCCCCCGCATCGGTGACATCTTCCTCCCGAGCCTCAGTGCCCCCACAAGGACTGCCCGCAACCCAGCCTTCCTCGCTCTAGCCCGCCAGAGGCTCACCTCTCCGCAGCCGTGGGCTCCGGAGGCTGACCCTCTCCCCGGGAGACCCCGCTCCCTCCCTGCCCGCGCAGGTCCCGACCACCCCGACCCGCTCCCCGGCTGACAGCACTCCCTCCATCACGCAGACCCTCTCGCGGACCCCCTCCTCTGTCCTCTCCTAACACAGCTCGGGGTCACGAACGCCGCCCTCCCATCCCGACTCCTCTAGCCTTTGCCCGCCCCCGCCTTCCCCGCCTCACTCTCCCTACGCTGACATTGAGGCCTCTCCGAAGGGCCTCTTTCTGAAGCTGCCCCGGCTCGGTACCAGCTACAGCCCTCAGGACCGGTCGAGCCCACTCTACCAAGCCCACCCCCTAAAATCACAGCGCGACTTCTCTGCGGTGCCACCAATCAGCGGAGGGCGCGCACCGGCAACAGAGTCAGGCTGCGTTGGCCGGCGCCTCTGCGCGGAGGAGGGTGGCCCCTAGTGGTTCTGGGCGGGGAATGCAACCTGATGCTCCCCTTCCTCCGATTTCTTACTGCGTCGCCATAGTCCAGAAGCTTGGTCTAGACAGAGATGTTCCAGTGTGACGAGGGGGTGGGGGGGACGAGATGCAGAGGAAGAGGAAGAGTTTGTGTCATTGCACCTCGTTGAAGGCAAAACCAGGTCTTCTATTTTTTTGTAAGACAAAACAGGATATGATATGCGTAGAGATCCAGCAAACATAGGTTGAAAGGGGAGTGATAGGGAGACTGGAGACAACGACAGATACAAGAAGTGGATGCAAAAGTTCAGAGAGAGAACAAAGAGGCTTATTTATGAAAATGATAAGAAAATGGATGGACACGGAAGACTGGGCAAGTTGATTCCTATTGCCACACCTAGCTTTTTCTCCACCCTCCAGACTTGAAACCAGAGTTGGCAAATCCTGGCCTTAGCAGCTGGGCAACCTTGGACAAGTCACAGAACTTCTCTGAGCATTCATTTTTCGCATCTATAAGAATAGGATTAAAAATTTAATTTATAGGACACTAATTTTGTGAAAGCATTTTGTATATATTTGTATTGCTCTGATGATGGTGATTATTATTATTTCAGTTTTGTTATAGGGCATGTGCACTCACTGGAGAGAGAGAGAGAGAGAAATTAATCACCGCCCCCACCTCCGGGGTGATGGCCACACTACAACTCCTTCTCCTTCATTCTCCTTTCAGGATTTTGGACACGCATGCACATGTGCCCATAGTGTCTTTTAAACCACCTGTCTGGGACTTGAACCGTGCAGTTGGGCATGTAGGATCCAGCCACCTTCACCACCACCACCTAGCTGGCCTTGTATAACTCTGATTATTATCCTTACATCTTCGTTTGGGTTTCCCTGGTCAAGACAGTTCCAAGTTCCCTGTTTCTTCCTTGTAATTTTAGGGGTCTTGCCACTTTTCCAGTGGAGTTCTTCATTGTACTGACCCCCCAAGTCTTCCCTAATGGAGATAGAGATGATTCTAAGACTGGCTCTAAGAAGAGATGTCTGTCTAGTTTACGAACTCAGGCTCATACTCCCTCTGCTTCTCCAACCCTTCAAACAAAGTATTATAGCATCTTCCAAGTGCTTCTCTTATCATCCCTCTGAAAATGTAGACGATGTGTCTTGTTATCATTGGAACAATCCAATTCAACATATATATTTTTTCATTGTAATTGCAAAATGCTTTAAAAAGTATAAAATATTGACAATAAACAATAATTATTAAATAAATCAAATACCATATATATTGATTACTCCCCATATGTTGTATGATAATATTTTTAAATAAGTATTAAAATTGCGCCTGTCAGAGACTCACAAGGAATAAGAAGAGTACACGAATGCATATGTTTTCTTAGGGACCATTATTCAGATTTAGGCAACTATTTTCCAAATTTGAGTAATTTTTCTACTTCTCTGTTGTATTTCTCCTTCCATAATTCTCTTTTCATCCCCGTCTCCTTAATCTTAGTAACTATCTGTCCTCTCAATCAAATAACAACCCTACTGCTCTAGATTATCTCCTTCCTTTATCTGGGTAAATATACTATATTCCAAGTAATTATATTTATTTATGCATAGCTTCTGCTTAATCTAGGTAATAAGCCCCCATAACACAGGCAACATTTTCCATCTCTCTAAGACTGATCACATTCCAACTACAGGACTCTGTCCAGTCTCTGATCATTGCTGTCTTACCTGGAAAAGAAGGACTCAGATGATAGGTAGATGCCTTCTAGAGATAACTCACAAATATGGAAGGCAGGCAAAGAGACACAAGTGAAGGGAATTAAGGGAATGGAAATTGGGTGGAATTGGATCTCCTCAGTGTGGTCAGAATACAGTGTGAAGGGACTTTCTCTTCCCAAATACTGTCTCTTAAGATTCCCAAGTATCTTACTGTCCTGCAGGAACACCCACAAAGTTGGCTGAGGAAGGGACAGGTGCCACCATGCCTACTCCACCTTAACAGTGAAGCCCCACATCCACTCCAGCATTCATTCTCCTCATGCCAGGACAAAGGTCAAGTCAACACTTAGGTCTGTAAAAGAGAAGACCTCTCACATCCAAAATTGGCCTTCATGAAGAGAGGGAGCATGAGAGAAGGGAGAGGAAAACAACAGACTCCCTGTCGACCTTATGCCCTTGAACACCACTTGCCTTCACACTCGGATTAAACAGCATTAGAGAGCCAAGAGAGGAAACACATGTGGTGCTTGGAGACCTGTGCCTGCCTGTTCCATCCCACACCCAGTCATCTCACCACACCCTTCACTTTACATTCCCCTCCAGCAGGGAACAGGGAGCTACAGAGAAGGAAGAGAAAGAAGGGGAGGAAGAGGAAACGAACAATTCCCTGCCCAACCCCCAGCTCACACCCAGTGCAACCACCAGGTAGGCACGCCTGCGGAGACTACTCAGAGGGAGTCCTGTGAGCAACAGGTTGGAGCCTGAAAAAGACAGAGAAGTACAAGAAGGTGAAGTAGGGGATGGGGAGGAGGGTGCAGAAGGCAAAAAGAAAGCGGGGGATCATTAAAGTGGAGACAGGAAATAGCAGGTTTGGGGGCAGAGTGGGGGTGGAGGACAACACAGATGGGATAAGAGTTACTATTTCCCTGCTTCCTCTCAGAGAATCCTTTCTGAACCTTGTAAGGAGAGCACAGGTGTGGAGGTAGGTGCTTTGGTCCTCTTCCTGGTTCTGAGCAAAGGTGACCTTGAGGCAGCGGGCGTCTTCCCAGTGTCTGCCTCTAACCCTGTGCTTTTCCCGTGTCTTCCTCTGGTATCTGTGTTTGTTCCGCGGTTTTCTCGCAGCCGCCTTCCCTGGGAAGATGGAGAGGTTGCTGGGGCAGGCCGAAAGCAGGGAAGAGGTTGGGCAATGTCACCCTTTCACACCCACAGAGCAGACGGATCGGGTTTCGGATTAAACTGAGGGAGTTTGGGGGAAGGGTATTCGGGTTTCGCTAGTCCCCATGGGTGCTGTCCTCTACTTGGTGCTGAAATCGGGGCAGCCCCATTCCAGGTGGGCTTACATCCCTGACCTCAGGGGTGCGAGACTCGGGTACCCCCAGTTACCTGGCTGGTGCTGCCCACTCCGCCCCCGCACACCTAGCGCTGTGGCAGGCGAGAAGGCGGGGCCTGTGTGAGCCCCACCCCTGGAGACTGCTGCTGGGGCCTCCCTCTCCTCCGCCCTCCGCCCGCCTGCCCGCTACTAGCTCATTGCGCCCCTCCTGCA